AAAAAAAACCCGAATCCGATTAACCCGAATAAGGTATTTAGGGTCGGTTTTAATAGGGTCAAAATTCTAAATCGGATCATTCCGGTTAACCGGATATACCCGAATTGCATTTAAGGTCGGTTTAGGGTTGATTTAAAAAAAAAAAAAAAAAAAAAAATCGGTTGCGGGTTAACCTGAATAAGGGGTAGACTATAACTTTTTTTTACATATTGCATCCCCCACATGTGAAGTACGAACACATGTTCTTTGAAATAAGAAAATTATTATGCATATATGTTTGGCTTATTTTATATTTACTAATCTTACATTATATTTTCTAAAAGGATACATATTGGATCTTTTCATATTAAGGTGTATTAAAAGGTAAATTATATTGGTTTAATAAAATAAACATATAGAAGGAATTAATCGATAGTTATACTAAAGGTAACAAAAATTATGTATACGTAAGTTAAGCAAGTTTATGAACCCAAGGTTTTTTAGTTTTTAAATTCATTCTATATACAAAGTGTAAGTTACATTTTAGGTCCTTATATTTATAAGTTATTTGCTAAAATAAACAAATATTATTTTATTTCTATTTAAACCCGACTAACCCAATCCAACTAACCCTAACCCAACTAACCCGAACCTTAATAGGGTCGGGTTTATGGTCAGATTTTTCAAAGAAAAAACCCAATTAACCCGACCCCTTTAACCCGAAACTCGATCGGGTTGACTCGAGTAATAGCCCTACATGCATATGATGGGATGCACAAACAATACAGCTTGACCATTGTAACTTGGGTGATTCGGGGCACTAATCATGAAAATTTGGTTGTAATAAGATAAAGACTTCATTAGGGATATGTATCGAACTATTGGTTAATGTGGACCATACCCAAATGATGCAACCCGAAAACATGTAAAACATAATCGAACAAAATGATCGAATCTAAGTCGTATGGCGGGAGAATGTCGTTGACTGAGGCAAACATCCAACAGTGGCGACTATTTAATCATGTACTGAGTGTGGGGGGCCCAGTAGAGAGAGTGACACGCCTGTTGACCAGCAGGTTGACTTTTTAGACTTATGGTGAAGTTTGGCCCTTGGTTAAACTGTGGGGTTGGTGTCAGACTAAAGTTTGAACTGTATTTTATACCTAGGTGATTTGTGAGACCGGCCTTGCGATTATGCTTGAGTAGCTGAGATTTTTGGATTCTATTGAGGTGAGTTTCTCATTATATTTTAGACTAAAATATGGATCATCTTGATGTTAGGATGTTAGTATGTTTTAATGACATGTTAGGCAAGTAGACTTGTTTAGAGAGTGTCTATTATTATTGGTTTGTTTGTTTGTCTTTTGTGTATGTATATATGTCGACATATCATGGTCGAGTTGAGGGCGGTCCGACGTTATGCTGAAGGCCAAGATACTCAGGGCGAGCCAACGTTTGGTGAAGTTTAGGGCGGAATCTCTTTATGTTGAAGACCAATGGGGCGGACCAGCTTTATGTTGAAGGTCAGGGTGGACTAGCTTTATGCTAAAGGCCAAAAGGACGGACCAGCTTCATGTTGAAGGTCATTATATGTATATTGTTGTTTGTTGTATTTTTGGGAACTCACTACGATTTATGTTTATAGTCGTGGATTAAATGTTTTTGTAGACACAACTTATGTTATGATATGACGAACCTTAAGTAGTTGTCTTATTTACGATTGTCTATAAATAACGAAGGTCCAGAAGACTCCGTTTTGTATTTATTTACTAGGCACATTTAGAGGTTCTCTATCCAATGTCGAGTCCTAGTTTTTTTGTAAGTATCCTATAAATAGATTAGGTACCTAAATGGGTTGTAACTTTTTCACTTTTATGATCTAGGCTTTCTCTCTCATTACGACTTCACTTGTACCAATTCCAGATAATAGAGCTGAATCAATATCATATTTAGATTTTGGTGTTCATACTTACTTTGATTTATATTTACGATTGTTAAAACATCTTTCAATTATTATAAGAGCAAGAATATACACACCGTTTGAATAACCTTTTTCAAGTTTTCTTCTTAATTGAATCATTTGCTTCGATTCAATTATTTTGTAAGTTGAAACGTAATTCTTTAGATCGTTGTAATTAAAAAATTATGCATTTGTTTTGTCAATCATTCCGTATCTGATTTCTTTCTTTTCAAGATTATCGTATTTTAACTCAATCAAATGGTGAATCTGAATGCCAACGTCGTGATGAATTATGCAAACATGCTTAGATATGCGATAAAAGTTCCAATATTACTTCCAGAGTATTACGATCAATGGGCAGATCGTAAGGAAGACTATCACAACAGGATAGATGAAGATCTTTGGCGATATATTGAAATAAGACCTTATCGTGCTGATCTTATTCAAATAGTTGGAAATGCTAATGTTGTTGAAGACACGATTGCTCAAGAAAATAAGAAGAAGGTGAATGACAAAAGGTATCTTTGTGAACTGCACACAACTTTGCCACCAGTTGTTTACAACTATGTTCGAGGCTATAAAACCGCAAAAGAAATTTGGGACACTTTGAAGGATAAATATCAAGGTAATGAATGAACCAAGAAGAGCTTGGTGACGCAATGCTTGTTGAAGTTGGCCGATTTTAAGCAGAAGGAAAGTGAGTCTACAGAAGCTTATTACGATAGATTCCGTTAGAACCCATTTTTTATAACGAACGGTGGATACGGAAGAATAATCTTGAGATTTATCGTGTATCAAAATATAAAAATATGAAGAACATGATGAGAATTCTTAGAATATGAGAAAGAAAAGAGAGATAATAGTTATATTCATGAGGAACAATGGTGGGAGAGAGAAACTCTCCCTAGGTGGGGAGAACCCACCAGATCTCTCTCTAAAATTACATGATGAGAAAGTTGCTTAAGAAAAATGACCACCTCTCTCTTTATATTGGAGGGGAAGATAAAATACACCAACAATACAATAAAGGGAAAAATACAACCTAACTACCACTCATTATTTGTAGAGCATTTTCATGCTCCAACATTCTCTCCCTAAATGCTTACAAATGATAAGAGATACAATAAGTGATACAAGGCTATAATACAGTAATCCGACTAGCAAGTATGGTAATAAAATGAAACATAATGAGAACCATATGTTGAAATGTCTCTGAAACTCTAAAGTGTCTATGCAGTCTGAAACTGGCCATGAATCTCTAAACAATGAAGGTCTTTGGCTTCAAAGCACAACCAATGAAGCAGGAAAAATAAGATCCAAAGCTTCAAACCAATCATAATCACCGGAAGAAGAAGAAGGTCACCATGAGCAAGTAGAAGATCCAGTAAAAGAAACACTTCGGCTTCAAAAAGTATGAAAAACATCTCGAGTTCTCGAATCATAATTCACCAAAATTCTTCAAAGAATAACCTACTAAAAATGTGAAACATCTATAAAATTAAGTCTGGATTAAAATAATGTGAGTTCAAAGACATGACCCATCAATGCCAAAAATTTGATCCAATGACCAAAAATAAGTGCCACATCACATCGCCAAAATAATATTCGTCTTCAAAGTATCACAAATCCAAACTCGTGAACCGGATGCGAACACAAAATCATCCTGTGGTAGAGTCTGGATAATAAAAAGTTGAAGCGGAAAACATTGAGTAATGCCAAAAATTTGATCCGTGAAGACCAAAAATAAGTGTCACATTGCATCACTAAATAAGTAATCATCTTTAGAAGTCTTCAAAAATCCAAACTCAAACAATCATAATAACCAAATCCGGATGATATTTTCTTCCTATTTTTGATAACCAATGACCGGATATCAAAAATTAACAAATCATCGGATGGAGAGTGTCGGATACCAAGAGCTAAGAGAGCCCTCCCTAGATGTATGAAGGTTCTCGATAAGACACGAGAAATAGAGTAAAATAGATACTCTGCGTTCATGAGAAGACGGGGGATAAAGTTGCTGAAGACTGCTCGAACAAATACCAAAGTACAAAGAATCACTGCATGCAAAATATCTCTGTTGCGCCAAAAATATGCCAAAATATCCAAACTGCGGTGCCAGAACTCTCGAAGTGGTCTTCAATAGAGAATAAAGTCCACATGCTCAAGATACATGATTCATCAACCAAAAATCAAGAGCGTCAAGTCATAAAATCTCATAAAGTGAAGAATGTGAAACAACTTTGTTGATCAATCACCGTTGCGGTGCAAGCATCACAAAGAATGATAAGAAGTCCGACTGCGGTAGGAGTATTCTTCCAAATAACCGGCATGAAATGAACCAATGTGACAACCCAAGGTTTGGTTGTGGCAAAATTTGGTGTTAAAAAAACAATTTGTGTAAAAAATAATTGGTTTTAATAAAAAATGGCTAAATAAAAAAATTGGTGTTAAAAATAAAGAAATAAAAAGGCTAAAAAAAGAGGGTATAAAAAAAAGGGGGGGGGGGGCTGATGAGAGGGGAGGAAAAAGGGAAGGAGGAAAGGAGGGGGGAGAGGAGGAGGGAGGGGCTGGAGGGAAGAAGAGAAGGGAGGAGGCGGAAGGTAAGGCTGCTGATGGAGGGTAGTTGCAGGTCAGGTGCTTGGTGCGGATGGTGGGTTCGGATGAAAGAGGGGAGGCGGGTCTGATGTGTTGGTTGTTGGATTAGTGTCTAAGTCCATAACTTAATTGCTATATACTTGACCCGACCTGGCATGGTCCATTTGGGTTGCATGGCATCATGCATTTGGATAGACTAAAATGAGAGAAATAACACTTAAGGTTTATTAATATATTATAAGTTCTAATATATTAATAAGATTATTTAATTAGTATTGATCAAGAATTAATCTAGAATTAATTAAGTGATCAAAAGAAGACTATTTAAATATATGGGTTGATTATGTAAATCATGCATACTTGTATAGTAGGCTAAGACTCCATGGATTATTAAGTTGGGCTAAAACCCATAGGATACTACATGGATGCTCCATGGTGTATTTGAACCCATGGATCCAAGGAAATGGAAAGCCTTGACAATTAGGTTTTACCCTAATTGTAACAACTATATAAGCATCATATTCTTGTGCAAAATCGGCCACTATGTGTGTATGTAGAGGGCAAGCTGATTTCATGAAGTGATGATTTCTCTCTAAGTTATTCCAAGTGCATATGATGTTGTGTGCACCATTTGAGGTGTCACATGTGGGACACTAGGCTCTTGAGCTCCATGGAATCAAGCACCAACAAAGAGGTATGTATTTCTACTAGTTTCTATATTACTTGTACTTCATAATATGCTAGTTAGGATAATACCTTAAAAAAATTGATATTTGCATGTATAATAGAGAAAACATAGATCCAATGTATTTAGGGTTGCATGTACACCATATGAGTGTTAGAATGCTCAAAACCCAATAGTAGTATCAAAGCCTATGCTTGTTTTCACTTATACTTGATGCAAACTGCTTAAAAATCGAAGTTTGTGTTGTTTGGACAGGGGATTCGATGAGCCCATGAAGGGAATCGACGAGTCCAAGGCAAAATGCATCCAACTCGCCGAGTTGATTTGTGCACTCGACGAGTGGGACCCCCAAACAACATATCTTCGCGTTTTGGTGCTGGAATTGGTCTAGAATCCTTACCTTTGAGTGTTTTGGACTTATAAAACCTATTTTTTAAGTGGTAATGATTATGCTAAACCAGTTTCAATGCTATAGTCAAAGTTTCAAGTTTTATGTGTTTATGTAATTCTTGAAAAATGTTGATTATTAATGTTCGTGCTTATGAGTTTTGGTAGATCATAGGAATTATGTGCAAATTGTTTGTTAGTATAATTCTTGATCTCAATGAAATTGTATGGAGTCCATAACTTGTCCTCAAATTATGGATTACCAAGATTTTATGTTTCCTTGATTTATGAGTTAGTTTAGATTAATGAAAAATAAAATTTGGGTTTTAGTTGTTTTCAATCGAAATTAATCTAAAGTTAGTTCATAAAATATGTTTTTTGTAACTTGTCTTCAATTTATATGAAAAGTCATATTTATGAATATTAAAACTCATAAAAGTGTCATAGGTTACATAAAAATGAAGAGTCTTTTTCATTAAATGGTTTTATGACTCCATAACTTGTCCTCAAGTTATGGATGTTGAAAAGTCACTTCCTTAAAATTGTTATTAAAAGATAAGGAGTTACATAAAAAATGAAGAGTCTTCATTTTAATGTACATTAAACTCATAAGTTATGAAATCAAAAGTCTTGAATAGTTTCAGAACTTACCCTCAAGTTTTGGAATTTGTAAAGTCTTACTCTCTAATACTTTAATTCCAAATCGAACCCTTAGAATTTTAAAAGTTTAAAATTCAACCCTTATACTATTATTATAAGTTTAATTATATAGATATGTATAGGATAAAGTCAATCTTACCATTAATAGGCCTCATTCATGAAGCCGGCCTATAAGGGGGGGGGGTATAAAGTTACTGTCTATAAAATGGTAATTTAATGGGTGTCCACTCTCACCCACCGCTTCATTGACTGGTGGAGGGTCGTTAGCCGAACGGGTAGGAAAGGACTATAATTCTCCCTTCATTAAAAGTATAATGATAAATACTAAGTAACTAAACATTTATAAATTCCCAATCTTAGCTACTTTAGGAAAATATGAAAATGGTGCTAACCCATGAAATTACACTTTGTACCTTACCAAGTCGTTAGTGGACACTAATAAGTACTAGTAAGAGTGGCAAAGGGTGACTTAAGTTTTATCATAGATTGGTGGAGCGCGTGTGGTTAGCCGACACATTGATTATGTGATAAAATTAAGGGTACCAAGTCAATTTACATGGTTATTCACACCTTGTTTGTGATCCTCGGCATCCCAGGCATAAACTTGAGAGGGCACAATTGAGATTCAAAGATGCCATTGAATGTTAAATGTATCTCAACAGATCTACGAGTTTCAAATCCAATTAAAACTTAATTATATTTCGTTTTTCATTGTGGAAATTAGTAAATAATCATTTACCTACCTTCAAATATTGTATAGCTTAGATTAAGGCATCCCTCTTCCAAGTTATAAGATAGTTTGTTGGGTCCTAGCAGTGAGCAAGGGACATTAGCCTTCACATGGTCCACCTGATCACAATAATAAATATTGGAGCCTACCGAATACAATCCCTCATAAAATTCCCCTCCTTACCACATTTTTGGCACCCAGAAACTAAGCGGCAAGCTCCCTCATGCACCTTACGCACTTGCCACAAGTGTGACCCCTTTTTCCTTCAGATCACAAATCAACAGTTTTGAACCTCTTTGTTATTGGTAGGGTCTAAACTGGGGTCCGAGAGAAAGACTATAGCTTGGAGAGAGAACTACACTGCTTGGTTGAGACAAACTCACAGATCGCCGTCTTGAGTATGCTCAAATAACAGGAAATCTAGACCTGCTCTAAAGTAGCATACTCAGGGCAGAAAATAGCTCTCTCATTGAACATCTTGGTAAACTCCATCACCAACTCCCTCGTCTGCTTCAACAACAGATACTCCTAGGCTAATTTATCCTTCTCTACCAACAACACATACTCAGTATGGAA